CCGATCGGGCAAGGGGGGAAGTAAACATCAATATCCTCAACAGCATCAGCGGGGCATCATGACCATCATCATCATCATCATCATCATCACTATCAACATCATCACCACCAGTCACACCATCCGTATCAATATCTTCCCATTGCCAACAACAACATCATCAGCGTCATCATTTTTCGTGCTACAAGTGTGCCATCACCGTACTCATCATCCTGAGGGGAGCAGAGAAAGCGCATCATCACCCTCGCCATTGTCGCCAGCACCATCACACACTAGCAGCAGCAGCAGCGGCAGCAGCAGCAGTAGCAGCGGCAGCCGCAAAATCAAAACAAAGCAGCCGTCAACATCACCATCGTCAACATCATCAGCGGCAACATTGTCCTTTTCACAATTTGTCAGAACCATCATCAACAACAAGTCACCATCATCTTCTTCTTCTGCAGGCTCAACGACACGCAGAAACCAAGCTGTCAAACGCAACATCGTCAACATCAACATCGATGCTATCATGATAGCATCATTGTCGTAGCGGTTTGGGGGTTCACAACATCATCCTCGAAACCATCACCAGTATCATCAGCATCAACAAGAAACGTCAGCAGCATCACGAACGACAATACTCCTGCCATCGTCGCCATGATGATGATCATATCTCTTTCAATCGCCATCAGCAACAACAGCAACAGCAACCGCAGCAGCAGCAGCAACAACGACGACGACGACGACGACGACGATGATGGAACGGTAGCAACCGCATCATCGTCATCCTCAGCAGGAAGAGAAAAACAAAACAGGTTCCAGGTTCACCGCCATCTTCTGCCATCATCGTCTTACTTCTTCTACATGCTCCATCAGCAGCATCATCATCATCTTCTTCTGGTTCTGTTGAGGGTTCCACGCCAGTCCCAGACTTCACTGCTAAAGCAAATAGAATCGAGAGGCTCGCTTTGCTAGCTTGTGGGATTTGGAAGACCTACGTTGCATTTGAGGGCAGAACCACTCCAAAGCCATGCTTGTTATAGCGGACTCGCCTGAGCAAGATGCAGAGCGCGACTGTGCATAGGCAATCTGCTCCTCCCATGCTCTGTAAGCTTCCAACGTACCGATCTCGTGAGTCTTCGGGGCTGGGCTCAATGCTGTATCCTGAGATAGAGCTGGGAGAGCACGTGCTGCCAAAGCACAGCGCAAAAACTCTGAGAGTACCGAGCGGCTAGACCTAGCGGCCCTGCAGTGAGAGGCCGGCATGCACTGAGCTTGTGGCCCAGTGATTCAGCGCTTCCATCTGGCGGACAGACATTCACTTTCTGCCGCAACCATTAAGTGCCCGCACAGGCCGTTGCTAGCATGAACTTTTGCTGTGTCTGCCTCCTATTGGAGGTGCGGAACTTTGAGGTGATGCAAGTTTTATCTGTATTCTTGGAACCAGACCGCTGCAATGCACATCGGCCGAAAAAGCGCAGCATGTTGAAAGGCTTGCGCAGAAGGAAGTCGGGAAATGCAGAGTAAGTCAACTCCACTGTTAATGTTGCGTAGGGGGCGTGCGCAAAGCTTCAATGTGTGGCAACCCTCGCACATGAAAATGCCAAACGTCGCTGGGCTGGCATAGTGTTGCCAAGCAGTTTCCAGCTCACACTTCGCCTGGCAGGTAGGAAACACCGCTGTGTTCGACATGCATCCCTGATAATATGCAGGGACGGCATAGGCTTCATTTCCTAAGTAATGCGGGTCAGCAACTTGAGCTGTGAAAGCATGAGCACGGCTGTCAACTTGACCATGCTCATTGCGATTTGCAGGTTGCCAATTCCAGAGTTATGCTGGGCTCTGCCAGAGAAACTGAGCCCGAAACCTGCAGCCTTTGCTGCAGCACAGGCTTCGATGTCTGCCTTTGGAAGATGTTGCATTTGCAATCTACACCGGTCCTCTTTACTGCTCGACTGTAGAGCTGTTGCGCGCCTGGCTTTCTGCGCGATTGCTTGAAGCCATGGAGCTCATGCTTATCGCCCAGCTTGATTGGTGCAGCCCAGTGTGTGGGGTGACCTATCAAAACACTGAGAATTATAATCAAACAGGATAAAGCTTGGAGATGAAAACATAATTGAACCATTTCCAAAAATGTTCTACTTGCTGAATGTGGACAATCACAGGGATCGCGGGGGTCTTGGTGTTCGAAAAGAGTCAACAGTCACAGGGATCGTGGGGTCGGGGCCGCGATCCTCGTAACCGTCGTCACTTTTAGATCCTCCAATCAGATTTGAAGAGTGTCAACGGTCGCAGGGACCGTGGTCGCGATCCTCGCAACTGTCGCGCAGACCCGCCCAATTGCAACCAAAATGATTCGCACAATCTTACTTAATTACAGCAGATGGTGATGTCGTGATGCTTCTTTTTTTGTTGTAGACATGGATTGGAGGGCACACCCCCCACCATTTGCGCATGATCCCCATACGCCTCCCTTACTGCCAACGGTGTAAATGTATGCTTCCTGATAAAGGCTCTTCCGGGTGGGTTCTTGAGTTTGCTTAGGGTCTAGGGCTGGCGAGCCGGCAAAGGGGTCGCTTAGCCAACATTTTTCGGGGTCGCTTAGCAACAGTTTTTTTGAGTCGCTTGGCACGTCCAAATTGGCTAAGTGACCCGCGTTTTTGTTGGCTAAGTGACCCTTGAACAAACCCAAAACCCAAAACCATAGACCCAACCCCTTAAACTCCAAATCCAAAACCCCTCAACCCTAAACCCTAAATCCAAAAACCCCTCGACCCTATGCCCTAAATGCAAACCCTCTAAACCCTAAATCCACAACCCCTGAACCCCTAAACGCTTTTGCAACAGCCTTTCTGAGTCCCCTACACCGTAAATCCAAAACCGCTCAACCCTAAACCCTAAATCCAAAACCCCTCAGCACTAAAACTTAAATCCAAGACCCCTAGACCCCTAAACCCTACATTCAAAACCCCTCAACCCTTTTCCGGAGGCACTAGCTTCAGGCCACAGCCGTCCCCAAACCCCTCAACCCTAAACCCAAAATCCAAACCCCCTAAATCTAAATCCAAATCCCCTAAACCCTAAATCCAAAACCCCTCAACCCTAAACCTTAAATCCAAAACCCCTCAAACCTTGAATCCAAAACCCCTCAACCCTAAATCCAAAACCTCTAAACCCGTAAACCCTAAATCCAAAGCCCCTAAATCCCAAACCCCTAAACCCAAGGCCCAAATCCCAGGCCCAAGACCCTTCAGGCTGTACCAGAGTCCTGAATTGGCCAAGTGACCCGCGCGTTTTTGTTTGCTAAGTGACCCGAAACGGTGCGGGATCCGAATTCGCTAAGTGACCCGTGTTTTTGTTGGCTAAGTGACCCTTGACGTTGAGCCGGTATCTCTTTCTTGGGCGCGTGGTTTGCCAGCCAACTGTTCTCTTTAAGCTCAGGGTTCTCTGGCCATTTTTCGTTTATTGCTCCTCTTTCTTTCTGGCTTTAGGCTTTCCTGTTCTTTTTGCCTACTTACGTTCTTTGTTGTTTCGTTGCTGCGTTCTTTCTCGTTGCTCTTCAAGAGGATCCGAGGGTCCAAAAGCGACGACAGTTACGAGGAACTGTCCACATCTGGCAGGTAGGTGTTTCTTGATTCTGATTCATGTTTGATTATACTTTGAGATTTTGATCATACATATTGTTTTGGACTACAAAAACTATTTTCTGATAAGCATCCCAGTTTGTGTATGATGCAGAATGAAACACGTCGTGCTTCGATTCGTGACAAGTCCTGCGCTTTTGCGCCAAGGAGCATGCCCTTGTGCGAGTTGTCCAGCCAAGATGTAGCGTGAGCTTGGGTGCCCCAAGTCTCCACGCAGAAACAAGGCAATATGCGAAAGCAGGACAACACAGCTTGTTTTCATCTGTAGGTCAATGGAGCATCCCGAATCATCCGAGCGCAGCGTCCTGAGAGGCAAAAGGATGGCCAGGAGACTTTACCAAAATCATTGCAGAGCCAAGCAGGGCTAACATCTCTGAGCACTTCTTTTCGAGTGCTCGATGCTTTGTCAGAGGATCCGTTAACACCTTCGCATGGAACATGCGAGTCGTTGTGAACTGCTTGTGGCAGATCATTCCAGAAATTCGTCGAGAAAGCACGCCCGTCGATCAGCTGTTGCGCTTGCCATGATTCAAGCTGTGGCACTATGCCATGGCGGCTGTTACACGCACTCACTTCTCTGCAGACTAACGTCTGTGAGCTGTTAGACGTGCCTTCCGTCTAGGCACAGCTTTGCTGCGTCGTGTGTTGTCGTCCAAGAGCTCTCCTTTGAAGACTTACGGATGCCGTAACACGATGTCGCTGTCACGAAGCTTTCGCAGGCATTCCGTAGCATAGTGACGTGGATTGGCCACCTCTATTCAGGGAGAGATCTTGTCCCATCATGTATGACTGGGCATCTAAAATTCATCAGACCGCCAACAAAGACGACAACAGTCGTCTACCACGGCATCAAACAGGCAACCTAATTGTCTGTCAATTCCAACACATGTTTGAAGATTCAAGGTGCAGCAGCACACTGAAGACTCATGAGCCCATAAAGTTATGGTGCAACTTGAGCCCCTGCTTGCTGGGTGGCTCGTGCAAAGGCTCAGGATGGGGCTCAACATCATACACCTTGGGCCGGAACACTAGTATTTGAAGATGTACTATCGCCCCACCCTGCAAGATCAGCTTTCAATCGCCCAGTAACATGCTGGGCATGGGGTGCTCAGGTATCGCCGTTGAAGGCATTACCAGGGCACGTTCTTGCAAAGTGCTGCCCTTTGCTTGAGTTGCAAGCGGGTATCTGCGAACTAGCAGAATCAAGCCTGATGTACCCGGTTGATAGTCTCACCTGCACCTCTCGCATTCAGGCCTCGCAAAATTTTCAAAAGCACCTTTGAGGTGACTCAATGGACCCTGTAGGCCACAAAGTCCCCAATTGAAGGGCACCCCGGGCTTTCTTATGTTAAAATCCAGTGTGCGTCTTAGACGGCACACTCAAACGTGCGAGACTTCCATGCCGGGAGGGGGTGCTGCCGGCGGTGGTGTCGAAGCCTGTCGTGTACGGGCTGTTGGCTTAGTGTGTCAGCAGGACCGTCGAAAGCAGCAAGCCTTGGCCGCGTGGTGATTCTCTCTGAGAACACTGGCGATGGTTGTCAGAGAGTCCTGTCGCGCAGAAGGGTGAGGCTTGATTGATGAGCAAGTGCTGTCAACACTCACAAATCGCCGAAATCGACATTTTGTTGGGCCATGTCCTGGATCTGAGCCACAGCTAAGTGAAGTTCACCGACCTGCGAGGAGCGGCTGTTTCAAAACCGATGGTATTCGCCTGCGGTAGTATCTGGCGTTTGTTCAACCAAAGCTTCGGTAACCTGTCCCCGGATCGAAGACACTCGCTACTTCAATGCACAACGGTATGGTGTACAAGCGGGTGAGTGGATCGTGCAATACTGCTTGCACACTCTTGCGTATTCCTTCGCAGCAGCTCCATTGTCCATGTAATTATTTCATCCAAAACTTAGAGGCCCGTACCGAGCTCCATGCCTGATGCGTAGAGCAGTCAGCAATGAAGTGAGAACATGCCTAGAATCAACTTAGGCTGGGATACAGTGTGGAACAAGCCTCCAGTATTGCGACCCTAAAGTACAAAGCTGCATAAAACTCAGAGTGCAAACATCCAGCATACAATGTTACAAGGCTTCCCCGCATACCTCCTGAACACCCTTTTGATTTCACATCTGCCAGGGACAAGTTTCAGCCTAGGCCTTTTTTGTGTCGTCCTCACTTGGTAGGTCAGATCCAAATCACGCATCAACTCAATTCTCTATTCTCTTCTTTGTGCTGCACGTGCCGATGCCAACAGCAGGACTCTACAGTATGGCGCCCAACCTGTCGGCTCATGTCGTGCATCTGGCCCTTCACGTCTTGCACCTGCAAGGTAAACATTGCTGGAGGCAGATGGTTTGATTCCGTACCCTACAGCGCTGTTTTCATGACTGAATTTGCAAAGGCACCTCCTTACCCAGCAAGGCAATTTGCTCAACTCCTGCAGCGCACAAGAATCACTAATGGTCAAGTCTTGGAGTAGTGAGTAGTCAATGAAGTAGTGACCAAATGGATGACGAAGGTGTCTGCGGCACGGGGGACATGCGTCAATGTGCTTATCCCGGATTACATCGGACACGTTGCCCAGATACTGATTTTCGGGCTTCTAACCCATAGTACTTGTTGCAAGGAATGCTGACCATTCACAACCCAGCGTTGAACCGTGAAGCAGCATTACGTTGTCCTTCCAGAGTTTCCAGGTCACAGGCGGCCGAGACAAGTTCGCTAGAAGAAGGCCTCAAATGCTCGGCAAGTCTATAGGATTCCGGAGGGCCTGAACAACCATCAATGTTGTCTTTTAGGGGCAGAGAGAAATGCCTGCATTTCTTGACATGTAGCTGCAGTATGCTGCAGTCAACAACAGCTGTATTCCTGTTCCTGTGCTGTGTGGGGCCAACGGGCCAACCAGCAGGCGACTTGGGCGACGGCTGCTTCCTGTGGGGCTTTGCTTGACCTCAGGTTGCAACGGCTGAAAACTCTAACTACCTGTTTTTTTGGGCAAGGTTCACAACTAGGGCCGCATAAAAAACTCGATACCTTTGCTTCATACGAACATCTTCTGTCTTTTTCTAATACTAAGGGGTTCTGGGCGTTCTCGTTTGTTTCATATCTGTTGGGGTTCCCAGTATCATTAGGACAAATATTGAGGCTTGACTGAATTTTCGGGAAGGGGTTTTGATACAACCCCAACTTGAACATGCCGTGTTGTCCTGTCTTCTAAAGTGCTTCTGGCTTTAGAAGCTGCTGCCACGGAGCTTTCTTTGAATTTCTTTCGACGCTTCCACACGGCCACTACGGCCCGCTGAATCTCAAGAGTGGCCAGCTCGTACAGGTCAAGATGCTTTGTTAGCAACCTCGTCACTGCGAGCAAAGAGAGGGGCCTGAAATTCTGATGCTTGATTGAGATGAATTTGACAAGGATCACAAACCCCAAATGTGAGGAATTGTCAGCTGAATTGTTGCTTACTGCAAGGCCAAGAGGTACAAGTAGGATGAGCGCTCCACAGCGAATCAGCAGCTGCTTGACTTCATGCCACCAGGCTTAACAAAGCCCTTTGCATCTTGGAGATGTGTGGAATGGCTGTGCGCTCAAGTAACAAAGTACTGGCTGAAGCCACAGGCATGGCTACACAAGAGATATTCTGCAAAGGTCTCAGCCCGGTTTTCGCCCTGGTACCTCATTTCATCTTCTTTCATTTAAGGCTGCGCATGTGCAGGCTAGCAGCTTTATCTTTGCTTGGCGGCGAACTTCATGCCTAGTGGACTCCAGGTGCCACGCTCGCTGACCTTGGTCTGCTTTTCAGTGCCGTGGGAGACCGTCCCGCAACATGCCCTTGCCCATGATTGCCCATGCTACTGTCTCCATCTGTTTTGAAAGCTCCAACTTGCATTGGCTATGTTGCACCTCAAACAGAAGGAAACCCCTGATGATGCAAGATTGCAGAAATCTTCACACAGTATTCATAGTATCTACTGGCGCACCGCCCTTGGACACAACGACATGCCGGAGTGCAGTGAGGAAAATCGAGCATGAGCTGGTGAAGCTTGTCCTGGCACAGGTTTGCTTGAAACGACTGGTGACTGCATGCGCGCTCACGTTTAGAGTCTAGGGTGGAGTGCCACGAGCCATATCCATGACTAATTAATCGTCTTTGACTTTCAGGCGGTGCTGTCGGTCCGCATGGCATGGTCCAATTGAGATGACCAAACTATACCAAATGAACCGCGAAGGACGCTTAGTCCTTGTGGAGCTGCAGTAGTGATCCCCCATGTTCCGATTCGCAGCGGACAGTCGCGTGTCGCTGCTGAGTGCTGAACCTGGACAGTACCTGCCGGGAATGGCAAGTTGGCCACTTGGTTGAATTGCTTTTCACCTGTGCGTGCCTCCACGTCTCCAAAGTACGTTCCCTCGCAGAAGAGCTGGTACGGGGACAGCCTTGCAAGTTGCAAATCAGTTTCACCCAGCCGGAAGTCCAGGACGATCCTGATTTGCAAATCCTACTCTGCCTGTCAGTCAGCCCTGCCTTTCCAGCTGCCGCTGCACCAGCGCATCTTTCTCTTCAATGCGTTTTCCTTGCTTTTTTCTTACAGTCGGTTTGGGCTAGACGCCGTCAGAGATTTGAATGACCCCAGCCAATAATGTTGCCAGTACTTGAATCTTGCACTACGTTCTCAGTGCATGAAGCTGGCAATAAGATTCTTACGTCGTCTTGGCAGGCAGATTCGCACAGGCACTTAGCAGAAGACCTGCTGCCTACGTGTCACCTGCCCGTGCACTCAACAGCATACTCCTGTCGAAAGATGTTGGTTGGAGATCTACCAAACTCTACTCCGGATCCGGCCATTCAAAGGGATCAGCCCCTTGTGCAAGGTGATGAAGGTGCAAGGGGTAAGAACGCCAACACAAACGCCATCTGGAATCGAGCAAGTCAGGAAATTCAAAAAAACCTGAGCCTTTCAGTCGGAGGCACTTGTGCCCAAAACTGTTTCAAAGGCAACCAAACAACTTTGAGAAGCGGGAATTTTAAGCTCTCTAAGACTACAGGCATTTACGGGCGAGCGGAGGCTGCATGCAAGCTCGGAGATGATGCCTGTTGTCATGATGTTTGCCATGTTCGCGACTCACTCTCGCCCTGTCCGTAAGGGTAGCACCTACCCCCCAACAATCATCTTGGAGTGGGGGTTCTCGCCGCTCGTTGCCTCATGACTCCTTCAAGATAAGCTGCCCGGGTTCTTGCGCAACTGTAACAGTCCAACACGGTAGGCGAATGGCTGCATTGAAGCCTATGAGCTTGGTCGAAGATATGGCCACTGGCGTCGCGCTCAGAATACTTTGTTGCCGTGATTGTTTCCATGAACAGCCAGGCTCTCTTGCAGCCACTACGGCTCTGCACGTGTTGTTTTGCGTTGTCCGACATGCTCCTGTGCGATAACAGACCTTTGCGCGACGGATTTGCCCCATAGACTTCCAGCAGCATGCCCATGATTCGGCCTTGATGCTGCGCACATGCGAGGAAGTGCACAATGCCAGAGTGCTTCAGCGTGCGAAGCAGTTCAGGCTTCACGCTCAAGCTGCCCTCCCAGGCCTGCCTGGGCTCGATGTAGCTTGGTGGCTACTGACCTGCCTCTCCACGAAGCTTTCACAACTGTGACTATGCATCCTTGGCCAAGTTGCAACTGCTCCAAGACCAGGTCCCCTCCAACATTGCTGTGCCCAGGTCCTTCTGTGCCTCGTGGTCGCGAAAGCCCTCGGAGTGAGGAGCGTCGGCCTTTTCGCAAAAGCTTCCACGCAGCTTGGCACGGGCTCGGCTCAGCGGAGGGACAAACGAGCGGCATATCCCTCAGGCCAGGATCTGCGGGGTGTAGCCGCCAGGGCCGGGGCAGATGCGAGCCGAAGCGAGTTGGAAAGCACATAAGAGGATCAACATCTACAATGCCAAGTGTTAAACAATATACATCAGTCTTAATACTTTGCTCTGCGCCCTAATTTCTTCGACAATGAGCTGTTGTTGACCGCGGCTCCTTCTGCTCAGCTCCAGGTTTTGGGAAGGCGGGGGACGGGAGGAGCAAAGTTCGTGACGCGCACTTTGTGGAAGGCCTCGCTTGGCGCCAAAATGCCGGCCAATTTTCCTGAAAATGCCGACGTCCTGAACTTTACAGGTGATTGAAGGTGTAGCGGAAAGATCACATTGCGCGTGAAGTCACATGCTCTGCGACGTCTGATTTGGCCCGCAAGAGTCCGCAGAATTTTCCGAGAAAGAACGCGGTGGATTTGCACGGTTTTTTCGTGCAAAGCTCTACGGAGACTTTTGGGCGACATCAAAGGTCGTGAAAGCATGTGACCCGACGCGCAAAGAAAAATGTCTGACTATCAGCACTGTGCCCTTTCCGCTACACCCTCAATCACCTGTACAATGCAGGACTTCGGCATTTTCAGAAGAAAGCTGGCCCTCATTTTGTGGCCGCTGTGTGATGCGTTCTCGGCGCAAGCTTTCAAGAACCTGCTCTGGGCCAACTAAAGCTTGGAGTGCCCAAAACGCACATGTCTGTTGTCCCTTACATTTTACAAGGCATTCTGCGTTTGGCTAGGCTTCTGCACACAAAGCAGCCTTCCGCTTCAAGCAGCACGTCCGGACATCGCAGTTTTTCGCATAGGAAACAGGATTTTGACATAATTCGCTCTCCCAGAAACCTTCTTTTCTGTCCGCGTGGTGACCATCACGCTATGGCTTAAGCTGAGCCAGTGCAAGCTGCCACGAGCACATTTTTGTTGATGCCTTTCAAGACTCGCACGCCTGGTGGCATGATTACAATAAAGTTCTTTTCAAAAAGTTAGGTAAGCGCATCTTTTTTGCTTTTGCCTTGTATTGGAGTTCGAATCCCATCTGCATCCATCTATGCTTTCTCACCGAGCATCTGATGAATTCCGCGGTTTGTGCCTTCAGCCTCTCGCGGTGCTTCCTCTTCAACTCGTCTTCCTCAGTCAGCAGTTTTTTGAAAGTTGAGAATTGAACTCCTTCTTTGAGGAAAGAGAGATTTCTTTGAAGCCGAGCGGCTAAAGCCTTCAGCCAGTCAACCTTCCTTGGTAGTTTCAAAGAGTGCTAGGCTGCTAGATGCTCTGGGCACTGACCCTTTGGATTTCTTCCCACCCGCCTAGCTTGCATCCAGCATTTGGCGTGTTGGGTCTTGAGCCTGTATCTCCTTCTGTTACAAACATGATATACAATTCGGCTGCGGCTCTCAAGGTGTCCCCCTGTGGGTGAAGGCATTGCGACGCCAGCAAATATACCTGTGCGCCATCCAGTGCACCCATAAGCATGCAAAATACCTGCGACTTCAGAACATTCCTAGTAAAGTGCTCTCTGCAAATTCACCCATCTTCAGATTGTCCTGGCATGTCCTGGCTGGGTTTGCTGAATTGAAGCCTGCTACTTGGAGACAGTCAGCATGCTATTTCATGCAGTGAAGTCATGGCCTCGTGCAACCAAGTAGAGCCCGAACGCCTGGATGCAACGCGATGCCAAACTTAATATACTACAGCAGCAGTGGAGATGCGGCATGGCAATGCACGACCACTGGTACGAGCCCATCTATGCACATCAGGCCCAGCCTGATCATAGCCTGAGATGATGCAGTGGCAAAGCAACATCGAATGCCACAGCACTAAGAAGCATTTGATCGTCGGGCTTGTGGCCTGTGAAGCCAACAAACGAAGCAGCACACACAATGGCCGCTAAGTTTTGGCCGGGGCGCAGTAATAGACAATCTGCTGATAGTCAAAGTCCTGAGTTCTTGCATCCACGAGCACATGCTGGTAACCTTCTGCCCAACTGTTAGTCATGGTTAGCAGATCCACATAAATTGTATGCAAGGTTCCTGCACGTCCAGGTTCAATGCCAGGATCATGTGAAACCGGGGCGGCAGAACATCGTTGAAGTGTGGTCGGCAGACCGTGACAAACCTGCATCGTTGATTCCATGGCGGTTTCAAAGACAAGCAAAGAAGACCAACCCAGTCTAGGACCTGTTTTTGAGCAGCTTCCCAGCAAAGAGAGCAGCAGGCAGCTGTCTGACCTCAAGCCGTTGAGGCATGTGAATGACGTCAGCGCTGCTTCATGACTGGGCATTACTGTGCTTTCAGCTGCGGCAGCAGGCTGGGCCAGAATCAACCAGTGTCAGGAACCGATTCGTTTTGTGATTTGTGCTCTATGTTGCTGTCTACCTCTACCCGTCTTGGCTACTCAAAGCTGTTGAATGTCACCAACAAAGCAGACCTGTCGCATGCGAATAGCTTGTGCTTGACTCATGCAAAAGAGATCAGGAAGGCTTCTATGACCTCATTGACGAATGCTCTGCGCTCACGCGGCACCCTGCTGAGTCGTGCACGAGATAGCCGGGCATTACCCCGTTCGTCAAGAGCTCACGCATCCAGGCCTATCAAGGTTTGCATGTTTGGTATGAGCGCTCTGCAGAGCTAAGTTCTGCAGTTCACCTTCTCGTAGCCTCGCAACTGACATGTCAGAAACAAGGTTGGCCACAAGACTAGGATGGGTCCCGGATGCCCGTAATATATATGTACATGCTTTAGCAAGCCTGACGTCTGAGATTCCTGCCCGGTCCCAGTCATGCTTCTCAGCACGCGTTTCGCGTGCCCACTTGACCAGCCTTAGTTCAAGGAGGAATATCCTTCAGGCACGGGATGTCTCATGCAAGCCAGTCTGTGTCACTCATCATGAGAGACTGTGGTGGGAACAGAACTTCCAACTTTTGTTCTCATAGCTCCCCCCACTTGGGCTACGTCTGTCGTGAGTCGTGAAGCAAGATCTTGCACAAAACCTGCGATGATCCTTTGGACCATGGTAGTCACTGCTTGTCAGGTAGTCTTTAGCTACGCTTGACTTCTTGCCTCAATCGTCGTCACGGTTGCCTTCACCGCCACCTTTTGGACCTCCAGCCTGCTTGGCCATGATGATCTGATCCACTTTCAGGACTGTGAGCACAGCATCCAAGGTAAAGCGGATGGCCCACTTCTTGGTTTCGCAGTGGTCAAGGATGCCTCGCTCTGCGGCATTGCAGACTAAAGTGCCGGAGTCCACATCCACGCCTGCTCCCTTCTCGCCCTTCTGGTGGGCTGCGTAGAGCGCAGTGATGGCATCCACGTGGCTATGGCCAGCATTTTCTGCCAAAATCTTAGGAACTACCTCCAGTGCTTCTGCAAACTTGAGGACGGCATACTGGTCGAGGCCAGGCACGGTGGCACCAAACTGTTGCAGCTGGTGCGCCAACTCTATCTCTGTGGCTCCAGCACCTGCCACAAATCTAGGATCTCGGCAGGTGCACCGCACCACATTCACTGCATTATCGACTGCTCGCTCCAGTTCGTCTAGGACGTTGGGGCTGGCACTTCTAAGCACGACAGTCGAGATTTTGGAGTCGCGGGTTTTCATGATGGTGAACTTTTCAGAGGACATCTCCTCAACTCGGATAGATTCCACATAGCCGCACTCCTCAGGGAGTGGCGGGCCGCTGCGGATGACGGAAGTGGCGCCTACTGTACGGCAAATTCGCCGCAACTCGAACTTGGAGGAAATCTTGAGGGCCATGATCTTGTACTTGTTCAGGAAGTGCAAGGCCATGTCGGAGATGGTGCCCCCAACGATGACGACCTCCACCCCTACCTCCTTGATTCCTCGGATGAGCTCGTCCATCTTCTGCTCTTCGCCCTTGCTAAAGTTCATGAGCTGCTCGGCGCTCTCCAACAAGACTGTGCCCTTCGTCTCCGTCGTGCCAAGGTCGAGGGCTTCAGCATACACAGCCACCTTGCGGAATTGTGCAGCGCTTCATTTACAAAAAATAAGTAGGGGTGGGGCATGCATCTATAAAAGCAGAACTTTTCAAGCACTTGCTTTCACTTTGTCGGCCTTGGCTTTTTCTTTGAACTGCTCCACACCACTGGTTCGTCGTGCAATGGCCATGCCTTCCACGACAAAGGAGCTGTTCAAGTTGCCTCCCTGCACTTTCGTAACGCGGACATTGTCAACATCAAACTTGCTGGGGACGGGTGGCATGACCTGAACGCAAGCTTCTGCAACGAGCTTGGCAAGGGGGCCCTCGCAGCCCAACTGCTTGGAAGCTATGGCAGTCTTCACGCAGGTCGTCAGGTTCTCAATGCTCTTGAGATCCTCACACTTCCAGCAGACCTGCTCACTCAGGAACTCCAAGGCCTTGCTCAGGGCATGTTCTCAGAAATGACCTTCCTCCACTTAGAGCTTACAAAGCATAGTCTAGAACACCGAAGTCTCTAAGCTTCTTTCCAAAAAAGTTGGAGGCCTTATCCCGTGCGAGCTCGTAGCCCTTGTAGACATCATTGGCGTGGATGCCTTCCTTGAGAAGTTCCTCAGCCCTTTGCAGCAGCTCCCCGCCGAAGCTGACGCAAAAGTTGGTCCCGTCTCCGGACTCTTGCTCCTGTGAGCATACGATCACACAATGCCCATCCCATCCCAAAGCATTTCCCTCTTAAGGCCCTGCCTGAGACTTGGCGGCCATGACAATCAGCTTGGCTGCAGGGTGCATCACCTCCAGCTCCGTCACGATGGTGTTGGTATCGCTGGTCACGAAGTGCTTACCCAAATGGTTCACGATGAGCTTGTTCATGCCGTATGGGCCCAGCGAACTCTTGGTGATTTGGGCCAAATTTTTGCAGGCCTCGATGTTCTTCAACAAGGCCTCGTCCACCCCAGAGAAATGCTTGCCGCCATCTTTCAGCAAACTCTGGAGCCCCACTTGCTGGTTGAACCTCAGCTACTTCAAAGATGAAAGCCTCCAATGCATGTCTGCTGTCGCACCAGCTTCGCATGCATCGTGTATGGTCTGCATCCCGGTGATGATCACGGCCATACTAATGATTGCGACCAAGGAGCATCGCCCCAGCTGGACACCCAAAGTGGATGGGAGCTACAAAATACTTGATCCATGCAATCTGGCGGCATGATTCATTTCAGCACGTACGCCACACAAGATGCTCTTGCTCAGCTGGTTGTCAAGTTCTGCTCTACAGCCCGGCGAGCCCCTGGTTTTTGGAAAATTAAATCCTTTTTCGTTAGAACAACATTTAACATGGTCAGCATGAGGCATGCTCAGCTACAGTGCCAGTCAGGTGGCTGCTTGCGCAAAGTTCTGCTGAGGTTGCAGTGCTCAGAGAAGTCCTGCACGACCTTCGGTTGAGCCGGTGCGCAGGTTGTCCATGATGCCAACTAGTATTAAGCTCGAGAATGGTAAGAAAACAGTATGCATTTTGCCACGTTGTTTGCAAGTGCTGCAGGCAGCTGCGAGGCCTGGATCTGCTGCATCACACGGGAGGCGCTCTCGTCCAGACGAGTGAGTGTCCCGATGACTTCATTGAGGATAATCTCAGTAACATATCTTCACACTGCTTCTGCAAGAGTCTGCTGGCCCTTGCGAACTGGTCTCAGCCAGGCCACGCTGTTCACAATGGCACCCAGGAGCATTGTCCCGCAAACATAGCCAATTTCGGCCTGCGTGTAGGCTGACATGTCCTTGGCACTCTGCAGATGAACATGCAGAAGCTCACATCCCCTGGCTTTGCACAAACGCTTGCACTTCAGAGTGCCGGCATGTGAAGCACAAGTGCTGACAGTGCTGACCGTGCTGCTCCAAATCCGACAGTAGTGAAGACCGTGAGGACAAAGTAGAACGCATTTAGCCACTGCACCTGGCAGGACATCCCGCACTCCGAAAAAGACATCCGCGTTCTACGTAGTGCCAACTCCTTTATCTCAAAGCTCTAACTCGAGGGTGTCCGGGGTGGGTGGCGAACAAGCAGTTGTGCAAGCTTCAGTCCCTGGGCAGGTAGGGTTCTTCAGGCATCGTCCTGACCTCGGGGTCTTGCCGCGAACCATCGCTCTTGTAGAGCAACGTGGCGCCCTTCGCGTCGATGACACGCATGCCCAGCCATGTGTTTTCGAGCCTGTCGAGGGTTCCCAGCGTACTGCAGAAAAAACGTCAACACAAATTGGTGCATGTGTCTGGTAAAACTCCTCGGCAAGGCACAAGAGAAAGTAATTGACGATCAGTTGAGTACCAGCTAATGCAGCAAATTATTCACTCAGTTCGCTCATGATTCAGGTCGACGGATGTTCAAGTCCAAGTGTCTGATCGGAGCCATTCAGAGCCGCACAGAGGTACCAGCCGCAGCCAACCATGTGCGCCACCCAGGACTCAGTTGAGCAACAGCATCTCTGCTCGTGTGAGACAAAACAAGCTTGTCAACACATGCTCCAGCGCGATACATGCTTCTTTGAACTTCGTTGCAATGCAGAACAAGCTCGCACCAGACAAAAAGGACTCCTGTCCGTCCTATAGCTGACAATGCGAAAGGAGGCTTGCGCAGACTCACGCACATGCTTTCCAAGGCACCAGTGTGCAAAACAAATTGATGATCCTTGGCTCAGTTTGCTTACATGAGCACATGTGCAAACGGCCGGTGTGCCATGCATGTTCAAACGCTAGGCCGCTAAGCGAGGCATTGCCCTGGGTCTGTTCTCTAACTGCATCTTGGAGGCCGCACACCACGTAGGTTTCGAAGCTGCATCATGACCGGACCTCGGATAGCAAACCCTCGTATTTGAGGAGAGGATTCTCCTCCCACCTGCTTCCGTGATTGACGTCGTCCCTGGTTGGGATGCGAAATGTGACTTACCAGAAGACCTCGCTTCACATCTGCCAGGTTGCTGTCATCCATGAACCTCAGGAGCTTCCTTGGCATGTGGCAGGAACATCCTTCCTACCGATGTAATAACTTTACGCCCTGCCGGGTGTGAACTCTCAATACCCGAGCCCGAACTGCCCCAGCAAGTGCTACGGCTGACTCTGGGTCTTGCAGCCTGTGACAACAATCAAAAACCCACAAACATCATAATTGATATTATCCTAGGGTCGAGAGGTGCACGAGTCGAACCAGGCGTGCCAAGCGTGAGATCCGCTGCAGCCGGCTGAAGCGTGCCACCTGGCCCCACTCGGCTTGACAGTCAACTGTGTGTGGTGCCTACAATTAGGCTCGCAATCATCTTAGGGTACGTAGTGAGAAGTCTATCAGAGGTCAAGGCCATCAACTTCTCAGGGGGACTAACATAAAGTGCGTGCTCGCCTCCAAAATATCGGCTCGCCTCAGGTGCTGGCTGAATGTTCATGGGCCTTGTGACCGTCTCTTCGCATAGACTAAAGTTGACTAAAGGATCCCCTGAGTCACGACATCATGTGTGTGCTGAAATGCACACTGCATGCATCATTCAATGCTCTTTTAGTATGACTGCCTGAATTCTGCTGCGGAATCCGTGACATGTCCCGAAGCAGGGAGATCGCAACAGCTTTAAACCATCCCGCTAGGAACCCTCCACTTTGCTGAGCCATGCCACACATCTTGCTGAAACATCGCTTCTATAAGCTGTGGTGGAATGCATGCCACCAGATTTGGTAGAAAATACGTCCTGCAAGTCAACAGCACACTTTACGCAACGAAGAGGTGCCTAACTCCGCTCTGGAAAGGTATGGGTTGACCGTGAGGAGTCTTTCTGCTGAGGCAACTCGGTCGCACGTCTGACATGCAGCAGGATTGCAGCAGGATGATTTGCAACTCTCAAATTCTAAGTCTCAACGCCGAAATTCTGATGCGTGTTCGTGTGCAGAGCTACATGGGCTCACATGCAAACCGCTCCTGAAGTAATACCAGGAGGTTTTCCTCAGATCCACCACCTCAATGCCCTGCGCAGGCGCTTGCCCTTGTCACACTCTCTCTATCTTTGTGCGACAAGTAGTGGGAGAGACAATTTGACATGTGCTAGGTGCACGCCTGCGAACCTAGCATGGTTCTGCCAATCTTGACCGCTGAATCCCTGCCCTCTTGCCAGCCTTCGCATCCCTATAGCTGATGAAGAAGTTCAGGACCAGGTCAAGGTAAAAAAGGCCTTGCCAAAACAGTCGCTTCGATTTGCGATCTGCATGCTCCACTTCTTCCAATGGGCTTGCTGACAATCATGAAATTTCCAGGAAATCAAGCTGCACTGGCGGAACCCAGTGAGGGTAGGATGAGGGGTTCATGTTGGGCTAGATATTGCAGCTTGGTGGCAATTTACGGCGAAGTCGATCGGGCGATCGAAAAACTCCTGCGACAGGTATTTGAGCTCTCCACTCACTTGCTCTCGCAGCCGACTAACTGCATCTCAGGTTTTGTGAAGCCCCTCCCACTGTGAGGATTTGAGCCCAAGCCGTAGGGATATCCTGGCGCTATTTACAGCGCAGAAACCCAGACCCAAGAGAGGAATAGCGGTTTCCTCCACAATGACATGCTCGATCGGAACGCGCAGATCAATGAAGCAAAGCCTGCGAGGCAATTCTGCTGCATTAGGCACATGCTGCTCAAAAAAGCGGCCTGGAACATGAAACACTCTCTGCTACAGGTATCACTTCCCGTCCGACTTTTGACTTGCTGGCATGAGGCTGGAAGGGGAAATAGGTCGCCGTGTATAGCAACCTTGGCAAGTGTACGAAGGCGATCAGCTCCAGCTGCACAACGCAAGTACAACATTTGCACATGAGGCTGCGCTGCAGCCATGTGGCAAAAACAAGACCTGAGTTGGCTCATTACATCTACATCAAGGAAGACAGGCAAGACTTACAGGATCCTCTACAGATCCTGTATGCGAGCAGGAAACAGTGTGGGGCACCTCTTAGAACATTCTACTGCGCCTGCATGGGATGGCATTTGCTTGGATGCCTCAGAAGCCTTCCGCGTGGCTGCCTTTCAGGAGCGATGGCATCTTGCAGCAAGTGGCAACTACGTTCCAACCGCGTCTGATGTAGGAGTCTTCCACAATGACCAGCCAGGACAAGCAGCCGTGTGGAGAGTGGTCTTGGCTGTGCAAGAGATGCTTGAGTCTCCCAAGACGTTTCTACTCACAGCAACTGCGACCTACGCAAGCATGCAGCACATGATCACCATTTCTCTTCCCACTTGCTGAAGATAAGGGGCCTTGTCGGAAGCTGGGTACAGATGTGTACGAAACAATGAAGTCAAAGTTGTTGCGGGACGAAGAATGACGATCTGCCTCGGTATGCATGTTTGGACCTCTAGGGCATGCAAACATGTTTCTGGTCTTCAGTTGCAAAACTGTCACAGATCCATGTCAAGTTCCGGGCAGCGCAATTGCGCCTTGACCCAAGTGCTTTGTCCTGGGGCCCTGGCAGTTTCTATTTCACTTGGTAGGTCCAAGGCCTCCTTTGAATTTGGATCGATTTTCACGTCACCTCATCGGCACTACATGTATTGCATGCGCGTGTAGGCCCTCCATTACACGGCCTACACCTGATCATGTGAATTGTGCGTTGAGCGAGAGTATGCGAGAGTTCCATAGAGTTCCTGGAACTGCATATCCAAGACCAGGAACGAATGCCCTCTTCTGCTTTCATCGGCCATGGAAGAACAGAACTCTGCAGGCACTATGCCGCCGCTGTTCTTGCTTGCAGCTGCTTCAGTGGCGGTATGTGTTAAATACAGCTCTGAAACATGCCGTGGCCTTTGCCATGCTATCGGTCTGTTCAACCAAAAGGGTCTCGTGTAAAGGTCAACAATCGAGGCTCTCCGCTCCTTGCTAGGGATTGATGCAGAGCTCAAATGCGTTTGCTATGCATGCGCAAAGTCTCGTCTCACAAAAACTTCAGGAGCCAGCAGCAGCAGCAGGCGCGTTAAGCAAGGCTTGGCTGGATGCATCTTCACAAAAGCACAGGTTTCAATACTTCGCATGCAAAGACTAGCACGTGGACGCTCTGCGTCTTGGCCAGGATATATCTGTGGCCTGTCCTTCAGTGAAGTTGCACCAGCAGAAATGCGGCCTCAGTAGTCCAGCAAGCAAAAAGGCAAGTGGACACTGCACTGTATGAACATCTGAAAATCATGGCCCATGTCACCAAACTCAGGACTGAATGTCTCGGAACTTGTCGCTCTGCGTGCAGCTTGTTTTACCACGGGAACCCTGACAAGTTCTCGAACAAAGAATGAATGCGCCATTCGCCAGTGGCCTTGATCTAGAAGTGACCAAGATGTTCAGTATGCAGTGCAGGCAGCGGAAGCGCGAGGTAAAAGGCTTTTTCCGATGAAGTCCGGAAGCGAGCCAAAAGCACGATGCACCGCATAGACATTCTTTGCCCACGGCTTCACATGTCTTCGGCAAAATCAATCCAATTCGTCAAGTAGATCAGACATTGACCAGACCTCATAATCAGGGAAGGCTGCCTAGGGCCTAGGTGCCCGTGAACCTTTGATGACTTCCAATGCCCTCAACAGCCTGAACACAGCTCGACCAGTGGTGGAATAAACAGGTCCGCACATACAGCGCTGTCGGAAGGGCTGAGCACTGCAGATTTTGGTCGTGCATCCAAAGTTTCCTAGGCTTTCTCATTTGCACTGCTTTTGACATCCTTGTCAGGGATAAGTAACCAGACCTGCCAAGCTATCCCTTCCCGTACATCAGCAGCTCAACAAAGAATGGTTAGCCAAGTTGATGCCGCTGCCAGCCTCAAAGCAGGCTCTATGAAGCCTTCTTCTGTTGACCGTTCAGGAGTATGTCGAAGTCTGCCAGCTGGCTTCGGAGGGATCTGCGCGCAAAGCCAAAGCAGTCGTGTGTGCGTTGAAGCCCACTTCAGGCGTGCATGCCCTCATTTTCGTGCTGGCAGCCGATTCAAGCTGTGATCGTGCGATGGACAGCTACAGCAGGATGCCATGACATCACCCCCTTGCTAACAGCTGCCCAGGACAGCGATCAGCGAGATCTTCTGCAAAGAGCTTGAATTAGCGCCAAAGCTGAATGAACCGCTCGGCGCGCTTATATCAACACTCACAGCTCAGGCAAAAGCAGAACAAGGAAGCTTCATGACAATCACAGGAACTCATAATGCAGCAGTCCAACTTCACGTTTGCCTGGGGCTGAGCGTTTGCCTACAAGTTCTAGATGTTCTAGACACCACAAATTAGTGAGCAACAAGGTGTTGCTCAGCCTGAATTGTGCACCTAAAGAAACTTTTTAACAAAACCCGCCGCAAAGTCACAGCAGGGCCCTGTCAGCTCTGATTTGACCTCACAGCTTGCCCACCCATCAGCTGTAAAATCTCGCGCCAAACCAAGCTGCCCAGCTGCATTTTAAAGTCAGGATGCGGGTCTGCTCTCTTCATCTTCAGGCACCTGGAATTTGAACCCATCTCAAATCGAGTGAGATTGGACTTTGGCCTTTACATGCGCACCCTTCAACTCTCAACTTGTGCTGTTTGACAGGGCGGCATTGCAAAACCTCCAACATCCTGGCCTGCAAGCGGATGGCCGCTGTCTGGACAGGGCCCTTGGCGAGTGGCGGTAAACCACGGCAGACTTTGATGAATACGTCGTCGTCCACGTAGAGGGAGAAAAGACTGACGGTGTGCACGGCAGAACGCCGCACCTTTTGCATTAGCCAGCAGCACCGTATAGGTTCTCTATGATACCTAAAGCGTGCATCTCCGAGTACGTCCAAGTTGCATCTGCGTCTTTGTCCACGGTCAGCTTCAGAACTAATCCCAGATCCTGTGGCACATGCCGCGGTGTCTTGCTGCACTGAGCCTGCGCATGCCGCGTGCATGCTGCACACGCGGTATGAGAGCAAGGCGTCCTTCTGAGATCGCAGCAGTGCCAAAGTCGTGCCTCGGTCCAGGATGTCGCCGATGGCTCGCATGCTGCACGCTGCGGACCTCACACGTGTGGCGTTTCCAAGACTAGGAACTTGCAGGAGTTCAAGGGCAAACGTCATACCCAAAGTTGTCTGGCCTCTTGCTCTTCGATGTCAGGCCATACAACAGCATGGGGAGCACTCGTCCCGGTGATGCCACGCAAGCACACAGCCTGTCTCCCACTCAGGTATTTGAAAACGACTGTGACTATTTCAGAGCCAGCTGTAATTGTTTGCTCTGCCAATTGATCAGACATATTCCTCTGTGCCTGAGCAGGTCCTGCATGCTCTCCCGTATGACCAGGATGTTGTGCCCAGAGCGCGCCACGATGTTTGGAACCAGAATCTGTGTCTCACGGTCCGTGAGCTGCACGTCTAGACCTTGGGCAAACTACGTCATAAGCTCCAATCCACGTGTGTAGAGCCGTCTATTATGAAGCTGGGACACGTTCGAGATTCTGCAACAAGACTGTGAGCACATCCAAGACGAGCTTCCAAACCTTTGCCAAAATCAGCACACCACCTGCCTGAGAGCACTGGCACAGCCACATTTCTGTGGCAGTAGAATGGCAGGTCCAGCCTTTGTATTGGCATTGGTCAGCATCCTGAGTCATTTGATGCTAACAATCCCTTCCGCAAACCTACTTTAGTGATGTGCAGGTTTGGAATTCCGAGGGGCCATGTAAGCCATTTGAGCAGCATGTCCAGCACGTCTGCTTCCAGGATTATGTCTATGTGATCGCTGGCCTCCAGCAGAGGCCGTGCCGGCTGCAGCGTGACTTCAACCAGCAAGCTGCCTCTTTTTGCCAATGCTGCAAACCTGCAAGTTGATCTTCCAAGCCTCGGCTAAAGCAACTCAACTTATTGTTTTAACATTCTCTTCTTCCCCAAGGCAAGCCGCGGTCAGTGAACATCTGCCGCCAAAGCCAATCCTCCCCGGCCAAGCTTGCTGCCACTAAGTGAGGCTTTGGGCAGCTGTCCGAATCTTCTTACGGGCATAGGAAACATGCCGTGCTTTTCGTGAATCATGACCTGCCGACTTAGTAGATACGTCCCTAAAGCCGTCTTTAGATGATGATGGCGTGGCTGCTTCAATTTCATGCAGGCCTCGATGCAGATGCGCCACTGCTCACGCAGGGCTGTGAGGTGATCTGCTGGGATCGTCTCTGGGCCTGTGCAGGGCGCAGGTAGCAATATCACGAAGAGAAGCGATGAGAAGTTCGGTCTGCACTAACAAAGGCTCTGGCCCCAGTATTGGCTTCGTTCCCGCTGCTGTCTTGCCTGGACGTGCCGTTCACCAGTTGGTAGCTGATGTTCGCTTTACTTGCATGTACGGCTCCGGCTTGGTGTTCAGTCATTGGAAACTGCTGAACGTACTGTGGTTTCCCAAGTGTTGAAGTGAGCCAACGTCATCCTGAATGGCGAGTGCCAGTGTGGACATACTTTTACAGCATAAGGCAATGTGGCTGGGTCCTGATGTTGATGCGTCTTATACCTCCCCTACGTGACGCAAACGTACGAAAATGCGCGGGCAAGCCCTGTCGCTGTCCTGCTTCGTCAGCTTCGGCTGCCCTATGCCGAAAGGGACTACACCTTAGTTGTGGCTTTTAGCTTCTTGCGCACTGCTTGACTCGCTCGCCGTTGCTTGTTTGTTTAAGCGGTGCTACCTGCATGGAGAAGAAACACGGACAGCAAACAAGCCCTTCACTCCCTCCAGATTGAATGGGATTCTTGTAACAACTAGAAGGTGCGATTCGTCCTTTCAACAAGCAGGGTGTTGTTGCTGCCGGCTGCAAGAAGAGTCTCAGGCTGGAGCACTCGCCGTAGAGAAGTGCATGTTCGTAGGCACTTTCCTATTACGTGCAGGCTATCGCTGGGCAGGTGCTTGCGAGCAGCATGACCTAAAAAGTGACTGGCCTGCGAAAGCCTGTCATCGTATCCCCTTGCAGCAGAGGGAGTCCTGGGCGTTTGCCGCCTCGCAAGGTGCGAGGCTGCAAAAGCTGTACTCGATGAGATCTGCAATACTCCTCGCCTCCCCTTTATTGTGGGCACATCGCAGCTTTCAAGACCACTAAACGTCTAATGGAGCCAAGGCACCTCGTGGGAGTTGCATCTCGGCCTTCATTCCTCCTGGGTGTTGGTTCTCGGCGCATCGGTGTAGGCTCGCGTCTGGCTCTTGGAGTTTGCTCTCGTGTAGGCGTCGCCTCCCGCCTTGGTGTGGGCTCACGCCTTCTTCTTGGAGCCCCAAGATCCTGGCGGGCTTCTCTTGGCATCAGCTCTCGTTGCCGGGTTGGCGTTGGCTCGCGGCGCAAGGGCACCTCCCGAGGAGTTGGCGTGGGCTCTCGCCTTGTGGGTGTTGCCTGCCGCCTTGTTGGTGTCATCGCTTCCCGGCGAGTACTGGGATCGCGCTTTGGTGTTGCATCCCGGCCTGGTTCGTTCTGTCAACAGCCAGTTCAGGGACAATACTTCCAAGATCCTGAGGCTGCTGCGCTCCAATGAAGGAACCCGAATTCGGTCAGCGGAAGGCCCGCGCAGCCTGCAAACGGTGAGGTGATGTCTGATGGAAGAGGCTTCGCAGTCAAGGCCTGCTGATGACAGGCCCGGGAGCTGCAGCCAATCCACCCGCAGGTGCTGGCGAAAGCACTTCAGACGTTGCATGCGTTGCATGGGTCCGCTCCTTAGAAGGACATGCAAGCATCACTCAACTCTTGGCAAAGTGTTGATGCATGATCTCCCTCCCCTAGCAACCTTCAAAGCTCGTCGAAGCGGCCATCTCGAGTTGCTTGACCTACGCAGGGGGGAAGGGAAGGCCCTACACCTCAAACTGCTTGCAAGCTGCTCAAAGGGTGCAAAGCGGCTGGCCTTGGAGCGCAGGTTCCGGATCTCCTCGGCCATTTGCTTCATCAAGGGCGTCTCGTTCGTCTCGTTTGAGATTTCAGGCGCTTCTGCTATGGCTGGTGAGGCTACCGCAGTTTGGGCTGTCGGTGGCGTGGAAGCCATGGACTTAGCAGGTGCAGGCTCCTGGGTCTGTGGCGACTCTACGACCGGGACAGCGTGGAGACGCTGCTTTAGCGGTGAAGTCCGCCGACTGTGGGGCGAGAGGGGCGTTGGCACTGAGCGCAGCTCAGGCATGATGCTGGTCGAAGGTCCCAGGGACGCGGTAGGCTGGGGCAATGGATCTTTCGAGATCTTTTTGAGCTCATCCTCAAAGACTGCCCGACGGTGTGAAGGAAGACGATCCAGCACAATGGACAGGTCATTCGAAGCTTTGTTTTCGACCACTAGTCTTGCAAGCACTCGGGCCGCTTCCTGCCGCACAGTGTTGTCGGAGTCATCAATCAAAGGCAGCGTCAAAGTTGCGACTGCCGGGAAGAATCTTTGGAACGCATCTGGATAGATCTCCTGCACCTTCGAGCATGCAGACAAACATTTACACGCGAATCTTTCCCAGGAAAGCTATCTTTGCCTAGCACATCATCTGAAGCAAACAGCAGGTCCGAGGCGCTTGTGGAAGCTCTAGGCCGCGCAATAACAAGTTGAGCGCTTCCTTCTTCACAAACAAGCCTCTGCAAGGATGTAGGCATTGGATCAGCGCTTCAAGGTGTAGCAACTTTGGGGTCTTTAAGTGACTGGACGTGTTGTGATGACGTGGCCGCAGGCAAGCAGCTCTTGGAGCCAATGTGGGGTGGTAGCTCCTGACAGCTCTGCCATAGCAGCGCGTGCTGTGAAGAGTTGGTGCTGTGGGGTCCGCAGCATCTAGGTTGCGAATGAAGAAAGCACTGAATTTGGCATTCTCTGGTCCTCCAAGAGCACCTCAAAGGGGACTGACCATAAGAGCTGCTCAACCCGGTCGATGAGGCAGTTGTGCTTCCAAACGCCTTAGTTAGGCATTCTCGAGCCCGCACGTTCACTGCATCAAGCTGCTTTCAAAGTTGCTGATCTCTGGGGCTTTAGGAGAGACCCTACATGATGACCCCTGTAGGTTATGGGTGACCGTGACCATAGGGGCACTACCTGGTGAAATGGGGTATAAGAGCACGATGTAGTGGGTTACGCAGAGTAATTGGACCAGGTCTCCTTGAGGGGTCCCGCCTAGGAGCCTGGAGAAATTGTTGGCAGGGCGTTGCTGGGGAACAGTTGCCAAGCTGTCTTGTGCTACTGAAAATGGATGAGCAAGCGGCTCTTGTCAGTGATTCGAGCAAGAGCGACAGGCAGCAATGCCTTTGCATGCTTCTCGAAATTGCGGCGGAGACCCTTGGAGATCAAGCCCATACCTGGGCAAGTCCGCAGGTCGTGAGCAAAACAAAAATCAAGGAGTGTGACAATGCATCCGCATAGAACACCTTCCTCGGCCTCCAGCCGACAGGCATCTGGAACAAACGGACCAGGATCTGATTGTTTCCTCTCCCCGTCCCTCCCTCCCCAGATCCGATAAAACTTAAGTCCCCCTCGGTCCTCTGTTCTCTAGGGTGAGGGTGGTGCACACGTGTTGGGATATTGGAATGGCCACCTCCACGGCAGAAGGGACCCAACCCACCCCTTGTGCTCCCCGTCCCCGTGGCGCCGAAATTAATGCTTAGACCCTCGGCTTGCATATGGCGCATCTTGACTTGATACGGTGGGTCTAGGGTTTAGGGTTGTGGATCGTCCTCAACAGTACCCTCGTGTCTGCCGCTGCGCATCAAGGCCAAGGACAAACTTGTGCTTGCCAGAGATGCATTTTGCCACTTCAGTGAGCACCGGGATGTTGCTCTCACCTTCTAAACAACAGCAAGATGGATTGAATGTACATCTTTGACTGACAGGGAGAGTGAAGTCGCACAGCCTTGGGCACAGTCTCTATCTTGCGAAGAAGGATACTCAACTGTGCCCAGGTCGGCCAAGTGGCCTTTGATCATCCGCTGGATGGTGGGGACCAGACTTGCATATCCATCCGCCACGGAAAGGCGGTGCTCCTCGGCCGGTCGTTCCAAGATCTCTGAGAGCACCTCAAGTTGTGCACTTTCTTTACCGATCTCTACGGAAAACACTGCTTTTTCCCTTCGAGCCTGCAGGTGCTGAAGCTTCTCTTTCCATTTCTCCATAGAAGTCACGCTTGAGATGCACCATCCTGCAGAGACACAAGCTTTATCGCCACTCCTACTCAACAAGCACAGGCTGCTCGCAAGCACAAAACCTCACGGCCCAATGCTGACATCGGGTAACAGGCCAGACAAACACATGTACCTGTTTACCTGTTTGGCCCCTCCTTTCGGCAGTCTTGCAAAAGGGTCAACTTTGCCGTTCATGCCTCAGCGTGAGTGCGATGGGTGTGAAGGTTGTGTGCATGTTTGCCACTGCAGCACAGGAACTCTCACTGGCACTAGCTAGCGGCGCAGCTTCGCCTGCAAACGCCGCATGGTTTTGCGGACATTGACATGTTTCAATCTACAAGCCGCATGAGCCGACTGCTTGCCTCTGTAGCGGCGCTTGGCAGCTTTCTCGGACTCCTTGACTCCCTCAAGCCGCTTTGCCACCTGCACAATCTGCTCAGATTAAATGACCTGGCTCTTTCATTGCGAAAAGGTGAGACTTGCTACTGTCGAAATCCACCTCCTTCTTTTGCGGCTCATCCAAGGGCTTGGTAAACTCCGAGATGTCCCCGAGCCACATGGCCAGCTCCATAAAGACTCCTCAGGCAAAACCACCCCTCTTTCAGATTCCTAGACTTCTCGGGCCGAGGCACCATAACAGGACTCGCGCAGCCCGCGATCACTGTCAGCGACGTACTTCTGCGCGATGCCTTGGCTCTGAGCATGCAGAGGCTCTGCCAAAAACAGTCTGACTTCGAGAGGATCCAGGTCTGCCTGAGATGAGCCCTCGGAAAAAATGCTTGAATGCACAAGTCCCCCTGGTTTCTGGCAATGCAGAACAGAGATCACGTGGTGTGCGGGCTTCATGAAGCCTTGAGTCATGCTTGACATGGATGCGACACGAAGATGCTGGCTTTAGTTCCGGAAGTACTGGCGAGAAGGTTGCGAACAAAAATGGTCCCTTCACCAGTCTGTGCCCTGCTAGGGATCCTTAAGAAATCTCGGCCGCCGTCCCTTGGGCCGAGCTGCCAACATATCCCAGCTTTGGTGGCAGCTTCTTGATGCCAAAGTCGGCGACAAGCAAACCTGGCACCAGTGTGCGTGCCAGATCCGTGGTCGCTTTAGATCTAGTAAATGGTCAACCCCTGGGTCCGGTTGACTCCAAGGTCGACTTGTTGCAGTCTCGCTGCCGATCATCTTGATGATGAAGGCAAGCTGCTTCTTGAAAAAGCCGGCATTCTTCTTCCTGAAAGATCACATAGCATAGGACAGCCCAGCAACCCTCTCCAGCCGGAGGCTCCACCCCATGCTAGTACCAAGATCTTGCAGCTCTGTCTCTTGGCACTCTCCAAGTCTGCTATGCAATCGGTCATCTCTTTCAATACGGCTGGACACTCCTTGGAAACGTCAAGACAAGCCCTACACCGCAAACCTTGGCCTCCTAAACGGTCAAAATCGAGGCGCAGCAATCTCAGCGATGAGCAAAATGATCGCGGGTGACAGCTGCTGCATCTTCGGCTTGTCGATGGTCTGGATTCATGACACTCAGTTGAGACTTCATGAAGCTTTTGGCAATGTGTTCTGCCTTGCTGTTGTTCCTACAGGCATGATATTGTGACTTGGTTCCATCTTGAAGTTGCTCCGCAGCCAGCCTTGTGCTCTGTCAGCTTTCGAACCTTCGATCCACTGAAACGCTCGTGAGCGTCGAAGATTACAGCATCTGTTTTCTGCAGGTGCTGAGCGCAAAGATGTGCATCAAACCATGACTAGTTCACAACAGATCGCGTAAGGATTGTTGAAATTTGCAGATACCAGCGCCGCCTAGGCGGCAATCAAACTGAGTTCTGTGAATTAGGTCAAGATGCCCAAGGCAGCACGTCGCTGCCTCGATCGGCGATCCGGGGGCAGTTCTCCAAATAGGCAGCTAGCGCCTTGATTTCCACATGGAAAAGCAAAGGATCATTTTCGCGGCTCGTGGAGCACAGTGGGACACGGCCACACTCTATGCCGTCGCTTAGCTTTTGGACAGTGGATCTAATAGATGACCGGCCTCTTTGCCCTCAACGTTTCTGTGCTACCTTCTGCATGTGAGGACAACGCTGCGTGCTGAAAGCTTTCAATTTGACACCTTCCCTCGACTTATGGCTTAGCTGAAGTTAGCCTCTGAATTCCGCCCAGCATCGCTGAGGCTCGCATCCTGGGCCTGACACAGGGATTTCAAGGCAGCCGAGCATCCAGGGGAATTGGTTCTTTGAGGAAGCCCGTGCTCATATCCCTCCCTTTGCCGAAACGGTTTCGGAGGTGCCAGAGTGCCATGCGAGCCTTCGGGAGCGACTCCCCCAGGCAGGTGTCGATATGGCGACTGAAGGTCTTGAACACCTCTTCGTCCGTACCAGCTTGCATGGAAGCCTCCAGAAAGTGTTGGGGCCCGTCTGTTTGAAGTGAATGGTGGCTGGGATCAAAATCGGCAAAATCCAGGTTGGCTTTTGGACGGTATGAACGACTTCCCAAACTAGGCTCCTAAAGACCCTTTTCTCACGTTGACGTGGACTGTGCCTGGCCTGTGCCTCGGCGTAGCCAGAACATCGCCGTGCCAGGTCCTGGTTGGGCTCCGGCGACCCTCATGCGATATTGGCCTCCTTTTGCCAGCCTCTGAGACTCTGAGATGCTTTACTCAGGGAAATTCGTCCTTGCTTGCTAATCGCTCCCCCAACGGCTCGGAGGAGAAATCCTTCAGGCATACAGAAGCAAGTGGCACACTCTATTTCAGCTTCACTTCAGCATCAGGGCGCTGGCAATGCGGGCCTCGGCCTCCGCTTGCTCCGCGATTCCGGCGCACTCCGGGCCAGTTGGGGCGCCAAATTGTGTCCCAGCGGGGATGGATTCGAGCTCCGTTCCGGAAAGGTCCTGTGCATAGGACGTGTGTACAAGCTAACTTACGAATCAAACTGCAAGGCTCGAGCCAAGAGTGCAGCAAACTATCTGCTCCCCATAAGCACGGGCTGTCCTGCACCCACACTGGGTTGATTCCTGTGGCGGTCGCTTGAGGCCTGGCAGTCTCAGACTATTAATATCATTATTATTAAGAAGCCAGGCCTACCTGGATGCCTTCCTTGAATTCCAAGGCCTCTTCGTCTCTGTGACGGGAGCCTCAGGCTCCTGTGGCGCTGCGCTGTTGACCTCCGTGGGCATGGCTTCAGCCATGACCTTCACCCTCTACAGCTGTCAGTGGCTTTGAGCCCACTGGCTTCGGTTGCTCACCATCGTGATACAGTACTTCCCGGCCCGATCCTCATCACGCTTCCAGAAGTAATTTTGACCCAGCATCTGACATGCAACCGCAACAGCCAGCAAGACCCACAGACAGCTCCACAGCCCTTGCAAGTTATGCGCAATCTTTTAGCAGAACCGGCAGTGGAGGGTCAGCCTGTTCTCAGTGTCGAGCCGCAAATACCTCAGACCATGTACCAGGCTGTTGCAGCAGAAGCATCCCTCGCAAATGGTGATGGCTCCTTCCGATCCTTTCGCCAGGATACTCTGTGGCTTGGTTTGTGGCCTGCTTCTGTATGGCCTCAACCTTCCGGCAAGGCCATGGCAAGCTACAAGCGGCTACAGGGACAGTGAGATGACGGCACTGGCGGCAGCCATTACATCCGGCAACGCAGTCGTCCAGCTACTGCGTGCAGCTATCACGGCAAAGCCTCCCCACATCTGGTGGTATGGATTATCTGTTGCCCTGTAGGTAGGCTGTGATCAACATCCTCAGCCGGCCGGGGTGTGTTGTAGAATGATTCTGCCTGCCTTTCCATGCAGGGGGCTTTTACGTTTTGTGGCAGATCGATGTTACTTCTCCCTGACAAAGCCCAGTTGCACTTTCGCTAGCCAACGTACTGCCGGCTTTCCAAAAAAGGCAGGTCGTGTTTTTTCCGCTGAGTGACATGATGCTACGCACTTAGTTGCGTAGCTCATCATTGGTCAAGATCGCAAGGCAGGAGGATTGGGACCATCCACACCTTCAATGGCGGCCTGCTTCTTCAAGGCCTCTGCTTCTCGCTTCCACTTCTCCACCTCTCCTCGAAGCTTCTCTGCCTTGTATGCATTGTAGGCCAACACGTGAACGCTGACCAGAGCTCATCTGACAGCCCACCTGCTCCGGTCCATCCTGCAGAGACAACTTGTCTCTGAGCCTCTGAGTCTCCTTTGCCTCTGGCAGGCAAAGCTGGATCCAAGTTCTCTTTAGCTGGCTGTAAGCGCTGAAACCTACGTCACAGCCAGTTCAATCGCTTATGTCTTGTTCCGCTTGGAACTCTTGTATTTAAAGTGTGGGAGCCAACCTCAGATGCAGCGTTTCGGTCTGCCCGTTTCAATGCGGCTGCCATCTGCCTCACAAAATCATCTTGAGCAGCAACACTAGATTTGATTGAATGCAAGCTGCGGTGCATAGCCTCTACGTAACCAAAAGTTGTTTCAATCAGCTGAGGATGAAGGCAGACAAGGAGCAGCGCACAGTACACGACCCATGTGGTCACTCCACCCTGAGAACGTAGCGAGATAACAGCCCGCCCCTCCCTCTACGTGTTGACAGGGTTGGGTCGTCAGCTAAGTGCGTGAAGCAACACAAAGATCGCCATCACTGTTTCATCTATTCGAGTTGCCGATCAGTAGTTCATAAGGCCTTGCTTGGGCAAGAAATAAACAGTTTCCGCGACAAGCCTGGAACGCTAGAAGCTTGAAACCGATGCCCCACAGCAGCATCTTCTGAAGCTCAAACTGCTGCTGCAGATTCAGAATATGCAAATGTTTCACGAGGGCACGAGACAAAGAAGCTTGATTGAAGTTCCAGGATCTTTTGCCGCTTGGAGAGTGTCAGCAATGAAATGTATCTGTTAGGAAGGCCTTCCAGAAATCTTCCGACCATCATATCCGCAAGCATTTGAAATCTCTCCATTTGAATGCTGTCAAGGCACAGTGACGGAAACGATGGGGTCTGGGGCCTCTGGACATTCTTCATGAAGCTGAGGCTGCTTTTCACATCTGAGTCTGAGCCTAAGCATGCATACATCTGCGACACATTTCATACGGCCATTGTTGGGGGGGGGGCTTTGCATGACGACAAGGCAAGGTTAGACGTGGGCGCCTGAACAACATCAAAAGCTTGCCTGTTTATGAGTACCGGCCTGGGTGCTGCCTTCAGCTCCTAGTGCAGCGGCCGCACAAAAGCAGCCTTAGCTGTACGATGAAAACATATGAAACCGGTATTACTTGGCATGCATTCTGATCCAGCGCCCCGGTGCAAAGCATGTTGTGGCAGGCAAACTCCAGACTGACTGCCCGGTCAAGACACTGAAATGCTGGCGAAATGCATGCAAAGAACCCCGCGCACGCAGCGCATGTCTGCCGCAGCCGCTCTGGGTATTGCCTTCTGTAGCAGCAGGCCACCGTAAAGTCTACGTGAGAGCGAAGGCTGGAACAAATGTTCAATGAGCTGACCCAGCAGCTTTCAACGGTAGCAGGATCCAACTTCTGGCGTCTAGTTGCTGTGCTGCGATGACGGCAGCATCCATGTCCTGAGCTCTAACCATTCTTAAAGATTGTGGTGGTTTTGGCTGTGCAGCCCGAGCATGCAAACAGAACTGCTTTGGCTTTGTCGGCTTTTTGCCGCTAGGGTTTTGCCACTTCTCAAGTTGCCACTTCCATACTCAAACGTTCTGTATCTATGCCAACCGATGCATCTGCATCCAGTCTCCCATTCCACGCAACAAACCCCATCCCCGACCAGCGCTCCTAAAATCCGGACTTGACGTCTGATCTCTTTCACTGTTCCCGACTGCGTAGCAGAAGGGTTCCCGTTTCTAAGTTGGGGTCCAGGGGTCCAGGAGGCTACCCGAGGTCGTTGCGTTTGTGGACGCAAGCTTCCGCAAGCGTTCGCGGAGGGTCGGACATGCCGGAGAGACGAAAATCGCCGCAGAACCGTCGTCACTTTTTACGTTTCGTATTACAAAAGTGTC